AAAAAAAAAAAAAAAAAACAAAAAACAAAAAACAAAATCAAGATGCTTGGTTTCCAACTTACACATTCAAAAATCAGGGTCTCATTTTTTCACTATAAATATGTCATATAGTTCAATCAACAACGTAGTACTTTGCATATTCTTAATTGCAACATTAAGCTAGCTAATAAAAATGTTAGTCCTTTTCTTCATTCTTTCCTATAGTAATAGCCACAGCCACTTTTTTCATACTTGCTATGATATTTGAAGCTCAGCTAAGCACCATATTTTACTCCAGTAGCTGCTCCAACGTGTCGAATATCGTTTCTGATCAAATCAGTCATGCTTTAGCTAACGATCCACGAATTGGCGCTAGCCTCATTCGCCTCCATTTCCACGACTGCTTCGTTCAGGTCTCGATATATCTTAATTTAATTAAGCACACATTTGTTATGTTTTCTTTATTAGTATGCATATGTGTGTATATATTTTTTTGTTGATGGATCGGTGTTGTTGGACGATAACACGATGAATTTCATACAGAGCGAGAAAAGCGCGGGGCCAAATGTGAACTCGGCTCGTGGATTTGATGTCGTGGATAATATAAAGTCCGCCTTGGAGCAATCGTGCCCTGGCTGTGAGCAATCAAAAAGTATTTTGGTAAAGCCAAACAAGACTCAACAAAAGCAGATGGAGACTTCATGCAAGACAAATCCTAACTCCACTTTATCATGCATGGATACAGCACGTGGGCCACATTAGTCCATGTTTTACTGTCGTTAGATCAGATCATTCTAGATATAAAATACATGTTACAAGTGTTGGTTAGCTAGGTTTTACACATTCCAAGAAATTCTGTAGCCGTCTTGTACCTTTCATGAGAATGAATAGAAAAATGTTGCATGAAATCTGGAAAGCTTCTTTGATGTTTATGCTCGATTTCTTTCATGGTATCAGAGCAGGATATTTCTGTCTCTGACCATCCCTTTCTCATCCTTTTTCTTTTGTTTTCTTCAACATTTTCATTATGAGTCAGCAAGAAACTTCATCAGGAGTGGTTCATCCATTATCATGTCGACAGCGGCTCAAGGTTCACTGATTCAACCAAATAGTCAGCTGATCTCTACAAAACTGGATGAAACCAACTACTTGATATGGAAACAACAAGCTATCACAGCCATAAGAGGATATGGTGTAGAGGAGTACATCAATGGAGACACAAAGAAACCAGAAAAGCTCTTTGCAAATGAAAACTCAGGTGAGCTCACTGTTAACCCCGAGTATACCCTATGGGTGAGGCAAGATCAGCTCTTAGCCTCGTGGTTGTTGTCCTCTCTGAGTGAAGGAATATTGGTGATGATGGTTGGCTTGAACTCAACTTAGGAGATCTGGAAAACCATAGAGAATAACTTTGCAAGTCAGTCTTCAACAAGAATCATGCAATATAAGCTAAGCTGCAAACTTTAAAGAAAACTAGTCTGTCAATGAGAGAATATCTAAGCAAGGTCAAAAATCAATGTGATATCTTGGCCATAGCAGGTGAGAGAGTGTCAGAACAAAACCAAATCCTTCATGTCTTGACAGGGCTAGGATCTGAGTATGATTCAGTTGTTGTGAATGTGACCTCTAGGTTTCCACCTCTTAATCTGGCTGAGGTTCATGCTCTACTGCTCACTTATGAATCAAGATTAGAGATGAACCAAAGCAGCATAATTAACAGTGAAGGATCACAGCCTTATGCCAATGTGGTGACACAGAACACACAAAGGCTACACTCAAAACTTCAATCATAATTTCAAAGGTGGAAGATTTCCAAATCAGGGAAACAGAGGAGGTAGAGCCAATAGGGGAAAAGGCCGAGGTAGGAATCAACAAAATAGGCCTCAATGTCAGATATGTCATGGCATGAACCATACAGCTGATAATTGCTGGTATAGGTATGACAATGGCACAAATAACCAACCTGCTGGCCAATCTCAACAAGGACCAAGAAAGAACTTCTCACCTAGCTTGAACATGGTGCAAATGCATGGCAACAACACCTACTCAGATGTGGGATCTGAAACAAGCTGGTTCCCTGACACAGGAGCATCAAATCATGTGACAAATGAGCTGGAGAATTTGAATTTGGCATCTGAGTATACTGGAAACAACAAGTTGCTGATGGGAAATGGAGAGGGGACTTCTATTTCACACTATGGTAACTCTCTTATTCAGACCCATGATCAGTCAAAGATATTTTCCCTTAATAATTTATTATATGTGCCAAGCATCAGCAGGAACTTAATCAGTGTCTCACAATTTGCAAGGGATAATAAAGTGTTCTTTGAGTTTCATCCACTTTTCTGTCTTGTTAAGGACCAGGTAACACATGAGGTCCTTCTCAGGGGAACATTTAAGGATGGATTGTACCATTTCAGTATGCAGTGCATCAAAGGGACAACTTCATCTCAATCTCTCCCTCAATCAAGTGAAGCCATTTCACAAGACTTTAATTTACAGCCTTTCTCTTATTTTTTGAAATCAGGCAAATGTTTAAGCCTGGATTTGTGGCACAAAAGACTTGGTCACACTAATTATTACAATGTGAAGAGAGCTTTAAAGGCATGTAATTTGAATTATCAAGCAAATGACAAATCAGATTTGTGTGGTTCTTGTATTTTGGCTAAAAGTCATTCTTTGCCCTTTGATGATTCTGATGCAGTCTATTCAAATGCTTTGATTTAATCCATACTGATGTTTGGGGGCCATGCCATGTTAAAACCATAGGAGGCTATGCTTATTATGTCAGTTTTATTGATCACTATTCTAGGTTCTCATGGATATATCTGTTGAAAGAAAAATCTGATGTCTATGCTGCCTTTATGAGCTTTAAGGCTTTAGTGGAAAATCAATTTGGTAAGAGTATTAAGGCTGTGCAGAGTGATGGGGGAGGTGAGTTCCAATCCCTTACAAATATATTTCAAGAAAGTGGAATACTTCACAGGATCTCATGTGCCTACACACCTCAGCAAAACGGTTTGGCAGAAAGAAAGCACAAAGATATTGTCAATATGGGGTTGTCCCTTCTTGCACAGTCACATTTGCCCTTGTGTTATTGCGGAGATGCATTCATCACAGCTACTTACCTTATAAACAGGATACCATGCAAACCCTTAGATTTTAAAATCCCTCTTGAAGTCTTATATGGTCACAAGCCAGATTATAAGAGGTTAAGAGTATTTGGATGCTTGTGCTATCCTTACCTTAGACCTTACAACAAACATAAAATGGAGTTCATGTCATCTGCAGGTGTTTTTCTTGGATATAACAATCAGTACAAGGGCTATAAACTGTTACTACCAAACAAGAGAATCATCATCAGCAGGAATGTTCTCTTCAATGAATCGATTTTTCCCTATGAAAAAGGGAACTTTCAAGAGGACAATTCAAGCAATGCAACGGGGCTGTCAAGTTTGCCAAGCATACCTTTGATAAATGTTGATCATACCAACAACAGAAGCTTCTCTCAGAATGAAAGGCATACTTCAGCTACTCAATCTAAACCAAACAATGTAGACACCCCAGTGTCACAGCAAGGCACACAAAGATCCAGACAAACTAACTTCAGAGGCAGAAGTAGCTCAAACTCACAAAGCATGCATGATTCAATGAGTAGTCATTCCACTGTACCTTTGGTGGTCGATTTGCCCATTGAAAACTATGAAGATGAGGGAAACTCAAGCCCGAATCATAATCCAAGGCACCACATGATAACAAGTGCTAGAGCTGGGATTTATAAACCTAAGGTTTACAACATTTCTCTGCATGAGGAGAGTGAACCTACATCACTACAACAAGCTCTGAGCAAAACCAAGTGAAAGATGGCAATGGAAGAAGAGTTGAATGCTCTCATTAAGAACCAAACTTGGAGCTTGGTTGAACTACCTCAAGGAAAGAACATGGTAGGCTGCAAATGGGTCTTCAAAATAAAAAGAAGACCTGATGGAACTGCCTATAAGTATAAGGCAAGACTAGTGGCACAAGGATATTCTCAGATCCCAGACTTTGATTTTTCTGAGACCTTTAGTCCTGTGATCAAACATAACACAATAAGAATCTTCCTTACACTTACAGTTAATCACTCATGGAAGATTAGGCAGATTGATGTCAGTAATGCCATTTTAAAAAGTGAGTTGGATGAGGTGATATATATGAAGCAGCCACCTGGTTTTGAGGATAAAGGGAAAGAGAATTTAGTTTGCAAGCTATCCAAGGCTCTGTATGGGTTGAAGCAGGCATCTAGGGCCTGGTTTGCCAAAGTTAAAGGAGTACTCAAGACTATGGGTTTCAGTGATTCAAAAGCAGATAGCTCTCTCTTCTTCAGGACAAGAAATGAAGGACATTTGTTTGCTTTACTGTATGTTGATGACATTCTTGTCACAGCAACACATCATCATGAAATCAATGAATTTGTTGATAAGTTTGGAAAGATCTTTGCTATCAAAGACCTTGGAGAAATGGAGCATTTCCTTGGCATGGAGGTTAAGAGAATTGAAGAAGGATTATTCTTGAATCAAGGGAGTTATATCAGAGACCTATTGAAGAAGATAAAAATGCAAGATGCAAAACCTCTGTCTACTCCAATGAATTCCTCACCACAGCTCTCCAAACATGAAGGAGACCCTACTGTAGATGCAACTTTGTACAGAAGTGTAGTAGGTGCACTCCAATATGTCACCATTACAAGGCCAGAATTGAGCTATTCAGTGAATAAGGTGAGTCAATATATGGCTTCTTCTTTAGATACTCACTGGAAGGCATTGAAGAGAATACTTAGATACTTGGCTGGAACATTAGATTTTAGGCTGCAAATCAGGAAGTCACCTCATGAGCATGTAAATGCCTTTTCAGATTCAGACTGGGGGGCTGATGTAGATGATAGAAGGTCAGTGACAGGATATTGTGTTTTCTTGGGAAGGAGCTTGATATCATGGTCATCAAAGAAGCAATCTTCAGTTTCTATATCAAGTACAGAATCAGAATACAAGAGCTTAGCCCATGCAGCATCAGAGGTAATGTGGATTAAATCTCTACTCACAGAAATAGGCTTGAGCTTGAAGAAAAGATTTGTAATATGGGTTGACAACCAAAGTACAGTTTTTCTTGCTTCAAACCCAATCATGCATGGAAGAACAAAGCACGTGGAGCTGGACTATCACTTTGTCAGGGAGAAAATAGCCAAAGGATTGATACATGTTCATCATATTCCCTCAGCAGAGCAAATTGCAGATGTCTTTACAAAGCCTCTTTCAAAACAATTCTTCTCTCAACTTAGAGATAAGATGGGTGTGGTATCTAAGTCCTCGATCGAATTGAGGGGGAGTGTGAACAATCAAAGCATTTTGGTAAAGCCAAACAAGACTCAACAAAAGCAGATGGAGACTTCATGCAAGAAGACAAATCCTAACTCCACTTTATCATGCATGGATACAACACGTGGGCCACATTAGTCCATGTTTTACTGCCGTTAGATCAGATTTACTTAGAGTATAATCCACCATTCATTCTAGATATAAAATACATGTTACAAGTGTTGGTTAGCTATTTTTACACATTCCAAGAAATTCTGTAGCCGTCTTGTACCTTTCATGAGAATGAATAGAAAAATGTTGCATGAAATCTGGAAAGCTTCTTTGATGTTTATGCTCGATTTCTTTCACTGGCGTCGTGTCGTGTGCCCACATTCTTGCCCTTGCTTCTCAAGCTGCCGTATTTCTAGTAATATATATCTCCATCGCTTTATCTTATTGTAAAAAAAAGACCTGATGCCGTTAAATTTGAATTTTGTAGGTGGGAGGCCTGTCGTGGACCGTGCCATGCGGCAGGAAAGACATCAAAACGGCAAACAGGGCATTAGCTAACGTGGCTATTCTGTCCCCGTTCGAAATCATACCTAATATTACCAATAAATTCGTTACCGTTGGTCTTAACATGAACAACCTTGTTGCATTAGCAGGTACTTATAATGGTTGGAGAGAAGTTTCCATTGATTTGATGTGATAGTTACTTTATTTATGAGGCTTTTTAATAATTAGTTGGAGTTGGAGATGGTCTTATAACATCAACTAATTACTTGTATAAATACGTACGCACATTATGTAGCAAAAAAGATTCGAACTTTCAAAACCAGACCTAATATGTCGGGTACTTATAATAATAATAATAATGGTTGAAGAAGAATAATTATTGTTTGATGTGACAGTTAGTTAGTGCTACATTTTGTGAGTAGTTTCTTGGGTTGAAAATTGTGTTATTATATATATATGTAACAAAACGATGATTCAACTTTTGAATTAGGGGCCCACACATTTGGGCGGGCACGGTGCTCGGTTTTCTTGGCTAGGCTGTACAATTTCAACGGGACAGGACATGCGGACCCAACGTTGAACCGGTCCTACCTGGCGAGGCTAAGGCGGGTGTGCCCACAAAATGGGGCCAACTTGAGTTTGGTGGTGACAAACCTGGACCAGTCGAGCCCCAACGCATTCGACAATGGGTATTATAAGAACCTGGTCACGGGTCAGGGACTGCTGCAGTCGGATCAAGAGCTCTTCTCGAATTCGTGGCCGCAGATAAGTGGGGTTGTGCAGCAGTTTAGCAGAAACCAAAATGCATTTTTCAAGAGCTTTGTGGCGTCGATGGTGGAGATGGGGAATATTGGGTCTGGGCAGGGTGGGGAAATCAGGGCTAATTGCAGGATCATTAATTAATGATGGTTTATGTTCTATCTATCTATTTGGTTAATTAGTACCAACTTTTGTTGATTGTTATCTTTATGTTTGGTTAGACATTATGTGTTGCAAGTATATGTATGTTTTGCAAGTCATGTTTGATTGAGTTTAAATTGTCGTAATGGGTTGTTGTTATGTTTGGTTTTCAAATTAACCTACGTATTGCATTGGAAATGAAGTTATATGTTTGTTTCGCTTACTTATGAACACAATCCAGTGACTCGTGAGCTGGGCTCGACTTGTTTATTAAATAAGTGGGGCTCGAGCTTCTTCAAAGTTCATTTATTTAATAACTCACTTGTTAAGGATCATAATAAATAAGATTTTTTTTTTTCTTTATGTAATTTTATTGTTCGAATTTGGCTTGTATTGATAAACAAATCAGTTAGAGACCGAACTCTAGTATAAGAATTAAGAAGCTCCGCTCAAAACGTTTAAAATAACATTACGAAGAAAGATGGATGTATATACACATATAGATTTCGATTTTTTTTTTATTTTTTATTTTTATTTTTATTTTTCTTGGTTGGTTGACTTACTGTTGTGTGATTTGGAACAGATATGATATATATATCCACACACTTGAAAATTTATAATGAAACAACGTTTGCACGACCACTACTATCAAGCACCAATTCATGCATTTGAAAAACAATAACGAACATATATGAAAAATTGTGATTAAACTACTTATAAGTCCACTGCATTCAACACAAATTCATTTACTGATATGGAAATTCACATGACAGCCAAACTTAATTAAGAATATAGAATTTCACATGAAGTATTCACCTACCCAATTGAGAAAATTATAGGGATACAAGCAGTCAAACTTAAGTATGTCATTAATGAGCCAAACTCGAGTTAGTCTATCAGCTTGATAAGGCTCGACCCCGATTATTAGTATAAAAAATTTAAGTACGCGACTTGTTTACAACTTTAAATTAGAGGTTTCCTTCGTATCATGTTTGAATTTCTCTCTGAACTCGACTTGTTTACATTTGTTGCTTTTTATCAATTGAAAAAAAAATAAAGAAAAAAAGTTCACTGAAACTTCAGTNATCATACATTATATAGAACTCATGCTTTCATACATAACTTTATATAGAACTCCACTACAAAAAAATTGTTATATTCCAATGGAAAATTTTATGGTAATATATTCCAATGAAAATTCCAACAGATATTTCAATGGTATAGCTTCCGTTGGAATCATTCCAACAGAAATTCCAACGAAAATATTCCGTTGGAATGTATTTTTCATTGAAATTTTAGATGAAATTTGTTGATTCCAACAGCTTTTGACCATAGGAATTTCTGTTGGAATTTTTATTTCCACCACCGTTGAAAAATCTACCGTTGGAATCGTCAAAATCCAACGGAAATTCTAATGGAAAACTCACTCTAACGGAATATTTTTGTTGGAATATCCGTTAGAATAATTCCAACGGAAATAATAGCATTGAAATATCCATTGGAATTGCCGTTGGAATTCTATTGGAGTATATTTCCGTTGGAATTTCATCATTTTCTTGTAGTGCTCATACTTGAAGTGATTTAAAAAAATGATACAAGATTAAAAATTGAATTAAGATCTTGAGCCCAATCTTGTAAAAGTTTAGAGCACCCACAATGTTTTGGGTCTCTTTTTGCATATGTGGCAAATAAATAGACTTAAGTCTATAATGACATCGACAAACCCAAGCTAAAAAGTCTAAAATTTATACAATGCAAATTACTAGGTCTAGAATACCTAACAAACAATAAAAATATAATAATAGTAAATGATTGCTATTATAAGGTTCACACTTGGGTCCAAAATAGACCCAATAGTGAATTTGGTCTCTTTTTTTATTGCCACATAAGCTAGACTAGGTCCACTTTTAATTGTATTCTGAAACACTTTTTTATAGACTATATCTATTTCTTACATGACATGTGATTTTTTTTTAAAGAGACTCAAAGCATTGTGGGTGCTAATAAGAGAATAAAATATAGACCAAATCACAAGTAGTTAATTCCTGCTGTGCTTTATTCGAAATATGGGCCTCACATCCACCCAAAATCCAATCTGCCCAACTTAGACCCACATCACCCAAAAATCCAATATGGGCCTCACATCCACCCAAACTCCAATCTGCCCAACATGTTCACTAGAACTCTGACGTGTTGCTTGTGGGCCCCACCCCTCAGGTGTCCAGCTGCACCAAAAATTCACTACTCGCGGAGAATATTTCCCTCTTCTCTCTCTCTCTCTCTCTTCCCCGCTTCAATTCGCCCGAGTTAAACCCAACTCGCACAATTATCTCATCTTCCTCCCCACAAAATCACAAACCCCAGATCCCGATTTTCTCACTCAGAAAAAAAAAATTGGCAAATGAAATTAAATGCAAAATTCCTATTTTCTATAATAATCCCACAAAAACCCACTGGCCTATATTGTTCACGACCTGAAAAAGGTTCAATCTTTACATATAGTCTGCTCGTCAGAAAGACGGTCCTTTCTTCTCCAAGGTCACTCCCCTTGTCTCCATTTTGCTTGATTCAACTGTTTAGCAGCTAAAATTTTGTATCTCGATGGCGTTATTGTTGCCTCGGCTGAAACCCTTGATACTGTTTGCAGGTAGGGAGCGGTGATTAATTTGATTGTTGTGCTTGAATTAGACAAAGAAGATTCTATTTTGGTCATAAATATCAGTGGCCCTCTTGGTTTTTCTTTTGCTCGTTTTCAGCTATGGAGTGGTCGGATTTTTGTTTTGGTCGGCACGCTTGCAGAAACTAGGGTTTCAGTTGACCAGTGCAGTTTTTGGATTTTGGGTTTTCATACTTATTTGAAAAAGTCAGCTGGGTTTTTAATCTGTTCCCCCCTTGATGGTTCACAAGATTCTCAATTTCCGGTATGATTTGTGAATTGTGATTTGGCCAGCCTGTTAGAAAAGGGCCAAGATTATTGGCTCGAACAAATCTTCGATTTTGTCCAACAAGGCAGTAGTAGCAATTAGTCTGTCAACCCCTTGTACTAGCTATCTGTGTTTAGAAAAGATTTTGGCACTTGTGTGAATTCTGAAGATGGCAGAAGAGAACACCACCACAATGAACCTGGACCTCAATTTGGGGCCCATCGAGCACCCGAGCGAGGACAGTGAGCCTTCCCCTGGGCCCTACGCGAACGCAAACGCGAACGTGCCCATGAACTTGGAGGAGTGGCTAGACAGCCCTGTCCGGGTCAGAGAAGTGCGCAATCACCGCTGGCGGTCTTTGTGGCGGCAGATCCCTATCCCACGTGACCTTGGTGAGGGCAGTGCCGGGCGACCGCTGGCTGACGAGGCCAAGGTGTGCGAAAGTGCCGCCGGTTACGTATCGGTTGGCGGCGTTGATGATAAAAAGAAAGACGGGGGCAAGAATAACACGGACGAAGGCAGTTTTTTCGACTGCAACATATGCTTGGATTTGGCCAAGGAGCCGGTTGTCACTTGCTGTGGCCATTTGTTCTGCTGGCCCTGTCTCTACCGTTGGCTGCACCACCACTCGGATGCTAAGGAGTGCCCCGTCTGCAAAGGCGAGGTCACCATGAAAAACGTGACCCCGATTTACGGCCGTGGCAATACGAACTCGACCGGCAGTACGCCCGACTCGGATTCTAGCCTAAAGATTCCTCTTAGGCCGCAGGCGCGGAGGGTCGAGAGCTGGCGGCAGGCCATCCAGCGCTCGGCTTTGACCATCCCGATGGAGGAGATGATCCGGCGGCTGGGGAGCACATTCGACCTCAGCCGTGAGCTTCATTCCGACGGGAGCGGTGCAAACCTGCTCAACCGGATCTTGACGTCGAGGGGGATGCGGAGGGAGCGGGCCCCACTGCCGGATGATGTCATCCATCTCACGGAAAATTACGATAACAATCATGATAATAATATCAATATCACCGGCCGTCGGATAGCGCCGCATTTGCTCCGGCGGTCGAGCTCTCACAGGGCGGCTTCGCTGTCCAACCTGGCGGCGGCCCTGCCGTCAGCCGAGAGCCTGGCGGCGGTGGAGTCGTATTTCAACAGCGGCCACGTGGAGAGGAATCAGGAGCTGCCGCTGCCGCCGGTGGATGATCGAGACTCGGTCTCGAGTATTGCTGCCGTTATACATTCGGAGAGCCAAACGGTGGACAACGCCATTGAGATCGATTCGAGGGTATCGCTCTCGACATCGTCTTCTAGAAGGCGGCATGATGCTTCTAGAATATCTGACGTGGACAGTGGGGATTCGCGGGCCCCGAGGAGGAGGAGGTTGAACTGATTCAACAATATCTATATCTATATATCCTGAGAGAGCCAGGCATGTGTTTTTTTAGCTATTTTTAAGTTGATAACTTTCTATTTTCTTGTTCTTGTTTGTTTGCTGTTGTTGGGTCCAGTTGCATTGTTGAGCTCTTCCTGGAGTTGGTAGTGAGTCTACAAAGAATGTTTTCAAGTTTTGTTTATGTAGTTTTCATATATAGTCTTTTATTTACCCCTTAATGTAACTGGAGATCTGGATTTTTATGTTTATTTGGGATATAAGGAATTGTAATGAAGCGAACAAGGTTGGTTTATTAGGTGCAGCTGTAAATAAACCTTGCAAGATTCATATGTGTATCTGGATTTATTAGCTTTTGTCATCTTTGTGGAATATTTTTAAGGGAAATTTTTATCTATCTTACAAAATTTTGAAAATATTGCAAAATTATATTCCATAAATAAATAATTATATCTCTATCTAATATGTAATAGATAAAACCTACATCCCCTTTTTGTGGGCTTGATTAAGAAAGAGAAATGAAAAGTACTCCCTCTTAACTCCCTCCTATTTCCTATTCATAATAAATATCGTTTTGGGAAGTTGTACACTAATTAAGAATAATTTTTTTGCCAATAATAACCCTCATTAATGAAGATAGAGATAAATGTTTTAAAAAAAAGATGAAGAGAATAATAAGTGTCGTTTTGGGAAGTTGCATACTAATTAAGAATAATTTTTTTGCCAATAATAATCCTCATTAATGAAGATAGAGATGGATGTTTTAAAAAAAAAGATGAAGAGAATATGAAAAGACGTAGTGTATTTATTAACTAAATAAGGATAATAATGGAAAAAATATGTACAAAATATCCAAAACGACATTTATTTTGGTTAATAGTTGATAAGCCAAAATGACATTTAAAAAGTTAATAGTTGATAAGCCAAAATGACATTTAAAAAGAATAGGAGGTAGTAATAATTAACTCATTTAATTCCATAATTCACGCAGCTTGTATATTTTTTTATAGAGAGAACAAAAAATATATATTGTAATTTACGCAGCCGTCAAGTGGTATATTTTGCGTTTATGTTGGTATATATTCAGTATATGTTGCAATTAAAAACATGTTTTCCATCAAAAAATTATGT